CGGCCTGCCCCCGCTCGGGGAGACATGCCCGCATCGGGGGGCGCTGTGACTCTCAGCCCCCCGCTTCACCCAGGCAAGCAGGCTCGCTGAGCCCGGAGCAGGAGGGGACCATGGGAGGGACGCAAGTCAAATGGTGAGCTGAGGCCACTTGGGCTTTGGAGGTGGGGGCCTGGGTGGGAGCAGAGCCCGGCGGGAGGGTGCCGGTGGCCAGAGATGGACGCGGATGGTGGGGGCGTTGTATGGGGAGAACGGGCTGCTGGCCTGGGATTATCACCTTAACATGCAGCGGTGAGGGCGCTGGGATTATCACCATAACATGCAGCGGTGAGGGAGCTGGGCCAGCATGGGGGAAGGAGTGGCCCTTTACCCTGTCTTGTCTCTGCTCAGGGAAGGCACTTCAGGGGGAACAGGACGCCTTTTCCTGTGGCCCTTTCTGATACATTAAGGTTGGAGGGACGTTAAACCTGTGGGGATTAAGTGTATCGGTGGGACCTGATTTGTAATCACTTGTTCCCTGATTTGAGAGGATTATGATGGCAGGTAGGGGATTACTTGCTTATGAAATAGGGCTTCAAAGCGAATCGGGCCGAGCCTACAGCATGTAATTAGTGTGAAAATACTTTCCTCTGGCTTGAGGCAGAGGACCTAATGCACTATCCTCATTCATGAGGTTCTTCTTGCCTCAGGATTTTTCTTCCTCAGTCCTTTCTCTTTTAACTTGGCCTCCAGTGCCATGGTCTTAGCTCTCTGGCCTCACACACTGGCAGCCTCAATTCAAGAAAGAAAAATGTTGTTTTCTTCTGGCTGCTCGGCCACTCCCCCAGTGGGTTTGGATATGCAGACATCCGCCTCCTTCTGCCCTTATGTGGGAGACAGCTCACTCAGGAGCGAGGAGGTGGAGCTGAGCATGCGTCTCTGCTTTTAGGAAAGCAGTTTTCCAGCGTCCTGGTTCACACCACCCTCCCAACCCACCCCGTCTCACACATCACCCACCGTGGCCCGTCCAAATGCAGCCGGTGGGACCTGTCAACGACAGCACCTTGTCAGCTGAGGAAGTGTCTTCGTTCTCAAAGAGGAGCAGCTGTTTCAGGCCTCTTTCGGCACATGGATCCCAATTGCTATAGGAAGGCGAATGCTGAGGCCTGAGCAGTCATAAATCTGTTTCTTTTTAATATATATATATTTTTATTGATTTCAGAGAGGGAGAGAAAGATAGAAACATCAATGATGAGAGAGAATCATTGACTGGCTGCCTCCTGGACACCCTCTAGTGGGGATTGAGCCAGCACCCCCGGCCATGTGCCCTTGACTGGAATTGAACCCGGGACCCTTTAGTCCACAGGCCGGCGCTCTATCCTCTGAGCCAAACCAGCTAGGGCTTAAATCTGTTTCTTTATAAATAACACTAAAGGCCCAATGCATGAAATTTGTGCAAGGGGCTTGGCCCTCGTAGCCCCAGCTTTGTCCAGAAAGTCGTCCAGAAGGTCCTTCGGCTGTCCGGTCTAATTAGCATATTACACTTTTATTATTATAGATAGTACCCCTAGACTAGTGCTTTTCCAGCAGCTAATGCATGTTGGCCTGGAAGTCAGATTGCCTAAGTAGTGAAAGGTGGATAAGAGAATTCTATAAAGCAATTACCTTTCTATCTATCTATCTATCTATCTATCTTTTTTTTAAAAGAAATTTCACTCTCTCTTTTTTAAAAATTACACTTTATTTATTTATTTTTAAATCATCACCCAAGGATATTTTTCCATTGATCTTTTAGAGAGAGTGGAAGAGAGAGGGAAAGACAGAGAGAAACATCGATGTGAGAGAAACACATTGATTGGTTGCCTCCTGCAGGAGCCCCGGACAGGGCCTGCGCTGGGGAGGAGTCTGCAACCGAGGTACTGGCCTTGACCGGAATCAAACCTGGGACCCTTTGGTCCACAGGCTGATGCTTTATTCACTCAGCCAAACCGGCTAGGGCGCAATTACCTTTTCTAAATACCACTTCTTGCCACTCTTCACCCCCCTTGCTTGTTTGGGTTGTAGATCTATAGGTCTGGTTAACTTCCTTTCTTTAAGTTGAAGAAGCAACAACTTTAAATTTTTTTGTGTGTTCTAATAAGGATGAGAATGTATTACTGGTTGAGGGCATTCCCACTGAAGCCTTTAAACTTTGGACAACGAGGAGGATGAGAACCTAGTCCTCAGGTTGCTTCAGGGGCTCTGAATTCTCTAGGTACCTCCTCTGTGCTTGCCTCTTGTTTTTACTGGTTTCTAGAAAGAAGAAATGTTAACTCCTGCTCGTGGCTGTGAGGATTAGCCTGGGAGACGTCAGGGGCATGTTAAGTGGGTCAGTGAATCCTAGACTCTGTCCCTGTTGTCTAGGTAATGGATCTGGAAAGAATTCCTGAGACGGGGCTGGGCCTGCAGCCCCCATGGCCCCTGACAGTGTTTCAGTGCCGATGTGCTCAAGGTGCAATGCAGAGAAACGGGCTCTGCAGCTGCGAGCTTCAGCCTCACATCCCCGGCTTGTCATAGCTTTGCTGTTCTTCTGGAGATTTAAAATTCCATTTCCCCCCAAACCCGAACAGTTCCTTCCAAGGCCAGTAATTATATCAGAACTTAAGAATTGTTGCGAGTTGCTCATGACAGTTTGAAACTAGTGTGGCAGACATATAAGTAACTCTGGGAGTAAGTCAAGTAAACCTTTACCATGCCCAAGCAGGTGTTCCCCTTTTGACCTGTTACCCTTTTCCTTATCATGTCCTAGCTTCATTGATACATCGCTGCTCCTTTGTCCATCCTGGTGCTGTCCACACCCCAGCACTTTCTTCCTGCTGAGGCACCTTCCACTCTTTCCTCTCCTTTGGCATCAGCCCAGAGCTGATTTGGTGTGATTACTCTGCTGGTATTGCTTGTGTGTGTGAAGGATCAGTATATTGGAATAGATTTTCCTTCAAGTATTCAAAGATAGTAAAAACACATACTATATCAGTCTCCAAACTTGGGCCCAGGATGGTAATGGTAGTGAGTAAAAAACAAAACAAAACTTGCCCTGGCCAGGTGGCTCAGTTGGTTGAGCGTCAGCCGTACACCAAAAGGTTGTGGGTTTGATTCCCAGTCAGGGCACATACCTAGGTTGGGGGTTCAATCCCAGTTGGGATGCATATGAGAGGCAACTAATAGCTGTTTCTCACCTCAATGTTTCTCTCACTCTCCCTTCACTCTCTCTAAAATCAATAAAAACATATCCTCGGGTAAGGACTAAAAAGAAACAAACACACACACAAAAACCCAGAAGCTTTTTAAAATGATAGATTACCAATTCTGATAAATTTCTTCTCAGTGAATTAAGCTTCAAGGCAGCCTTGTTGTGTAAAAGATTTCCTAGGACTGGGTCATTTATTCATTCAACTTTCATTTCATTCAACACATTTATTCATTCAACAAATATTTGTTCTTACTGTGGGCCAGGTACTGTTTTAGGCAGTAGGAGTAAGATGGGTAAGAACATATCTCTGGGCCCTAGCTTGTTTGGCTCGGTGGATACAGTGTCAGCCTGCGGACTGAAGGGTACCGGGTTCAAATCCCGGCAAGGGCATACTCCTGGGTTGCAGGCTCCATCCCCAGTAGAGCGCATGCAGGAGGCAGCTGATTGATGATTCTCTCTCATCATTGATTTTCTATCTCTCTCTCCCTTCCTCTGAAATACACACACACATACAAATACACACAAATATACACTGAGTGGCCAGATTATTATGACCACCTGACGTTTGTAGGCAAATTAGCCATACACTGCATCGTATGGGATATGGAAGCCGAAGGCCTGTTCGAACACCTTTGCTGTCTGCAGTTACCAAGATAAAACGTCTCCGATTTGCACAGGAACACAAGGTTTGGACAGTTGAGCATTGGAAAAAAGTCATGTGGTCCGATGAATCACGTTTCCAGTTGCATCATGTAGATGGCAGAGTGAGAATTTGGCGGAAACAGCATGAAAGCATGCACCCCACATGCATGAGTACAGCCCTTCAAGCTGGTGGGGGCAGTGTTATGGTTTGGGGCATGTTTTCCTAGCATGATTTGGGCCCTTTAATTCATGTGGAACAATGTCTGAATAGCACAACATACCTAAGTATCGTTGCTGATCAAGTTCATCCTATCATGTTGATGGCGTATCCCAATGGATATGGCTTCTTCCAACAAGACAATGTGCCATGCCACGGTGCTCGTATTGTGCAGGAGTGGTTTCAAGAACATGAGGGAGACTTTACCGTGCTTAGGTGGCCCCCACAATCACCACATCTCAATCCAATTGAGCATTTGTGGGACGAAGTTAAAAGAGCCATCAGGCAGCTGGTTCCACAACCATCAAATCTCACAGAACTGGACAGTGCTATTCATCGGGCATGGTGTCAGATTCCTCGCATCACCTTTCAACATCTCATGGAGTCAATGCCAAGAAGAATCGCTGCAGTATTGAAGGCAAAAGGTGGCCCAACGAAGTACTAATGGGGTGGTCATAATAATCTGGCCACTCACGTTCAAATATCTCCCACGTTCAAAGGTTGTTAAATCGCGTTGTTTACCCATATCTTCAGAAAAAAAATCACTTCTACTGTCATGGTAAACAACCTGCTTCCCTATTTATAATGGTCTGGCCCTCTAGCAACTTCAGTGCGAAATTATAGCTAATTTGCCTACAAACGTCAGGTGGTCATAATAATCTGGCCACTCAGTGTATATTTGTGTGTGTGTGTGTGTGTGTATAAAACAAAACTATATATATATATGAAAAACAAAACTTTAAAGAAATATGTCTCTGGGATTAATTAATGAAAGTTGGCTTCTAAACAACTGTTCATAATAATTGTTTCTCTTCCTTTTATCACAGCCTGACTTCACCCAGTCCTATCCACAGTGCAAAGAGCGAATCCATTATCACCCAGTCGGAGGAGAAGGCAGAGTTTGTGATTATTCCCTCTGGAGGAATAGAGAACAGGACAGGTACTATTTCGTGGGTGCCTGGGTTGGCTCAAGGAATAGCTCTCAGCTTGAAGAGTTTGGGGATCCTTGTGCCTCTCCATAGTCTGTGTCTGCAGGCTCAGCTCTGCAGGGCTGTAATGCTTTAGAGCCAACGAACATAGTTACCCTCTTAGAGAATGTCACTTCCAATGTCCTAGCTGTCAAAAATCTTGCAGCAGTATAGACAGGCTGTTCCTCGGCCCCCTGCCTATGAATTAGGAAATGACTTTGGAACAGTCGGAAGCCTTATTCACATAAATAGATTTTATGATTTCTGTGTTATTCAAATAATTTCAGTCCTTCTCTTGCTTAAATTAGGGCCAGGAATATAGAGGAGTTGCTGAGGTGTCTGTGAGAATGTACAGTAGAGAGCAGGTCTACATCAGGTTTGGTATGAGGGCTACAGAAAGGACCACGAGGAGTTCCCTTTGTTTAGACTTCTCCTTCCTCTGTTTCAGTTGCTCTCTGTTTACTCACATAAACATAGAGGAAAGCAGGAAGAAGCAAAACACGTGATTTAGATAGAGTTTGATTCGCCTATTAGGAGATACAATGCAACCGACGCCCTCAGAAGAAAAACTGGAATTGATTTCTTCCTTATTCTGTTCCCTCTCTAAACCTGGCATTCGTATCAAAGAGTACCACTGAGCATGTTACTGAGGCAGACACTCCTGGGACCCTGAGGAGGGAGAGGGAGAGCATTTATTGAGTGCTTGCTCTGGGCTCCACACCACATGGCCCTGGGCATAAATTACCTCATTTAATCTTCACAGAAACCCAGAGGGATTCGACTTACTATACTCATTTTTATGAATTAAATTAGAAGAGCTTGTAAAGGCAGGAAAATAAAACAAAACCAGAGAGAGAGATTAAACAATTTGTGCAAATATGCTTTACTGTGTGAGACACTGTTATATGACAGAATGGTCTCTGAATCTCCCGAGCAACCAACAGGACTTTTGTTTTCATGGCCTCTGACAGCTCCCCTCTTTGTACCTGGCAGAATCAAGCTCCGGGAGTGCCAGTTCTAGAGAATTAATAGTAAAATCTATATGTCCCATACCAAGACTCCCAAAAAGGAGGTCTTATTGCTTCCTAAACGTTCTGAAGAGGATGTGTTTCCCCAACAGAGTAAGTGTTGCTCCCTTGAGCCTGGGGTCTGAGTTAATAGCCAATTCTTTATGTCTCACAACCCCACCTGGTGGCGAGTCCAGGCTGTGAGCGAGGACAGGTTCAGGAGGCAGTGACCTGAACCTGTGAATGCGAGGACTGTGAACGCTTCCTGCCGGAAACTCAGTTTTCTTCAACATGGACTGTACTCCCGCCTTTCGTGTTGTAGAGGAGACAGACTCTCCATTATCCCGAGACTGGCGACCAGGTAGCCCCACCACCTGTCTGGAGACTTCATGGGAAGAACAGCTGTTGGAACAACAAGAACATTTAGAAAAAGAAATGGAGGAAGCCAAGAAAATGATATCAGGATTACAGGTAGCTCCTTCCCTTGTCGTTCGTCTTCCGCGCACCAACTGATTATTATTCTTAAATCACTGGTGTCAGTTGAAAATAAACTGACTCAGTTTTGTGTGAGGTCAGAGTTGAATGGGGAGTTTGGACAGAGGGAGTGTGACTCAAAGGGCAGACAATTCCTTCTCTGTGAGTAAAGCTCTTACATGGACCAGATGGGCTCCTGTTTACAACACAATTGTCAGGAGTTCTACGAGCCTGGGAGCCATCAAGCCCTACCAAACCCTTGTTCTGGCTCTCAGCTCACAGGTGGGTTCCTGCCCGAGCTGCAGCTACAGCCGTGCAGTTGCAGCTTTCCCCAAATAATGGCACTCTGAAGAGTCAGGGATTGTCTCCTAGGACTGTTTCAGGAAGGGTGCGGGAGCCCGTAATACCAAGGTCTCTGTCTGAATCTAGCTAAAGGATTCCGCTCGCTCCTAATGCGTTTGCGAGTGAATGCCAAGGCTTCCTCATCAGGTAGAAGAGGTTTTCTTTGAGCAACAAAGCCCTTCAGTCTTTCCTATACCTTCAGTGCCAGCTCAGGAAATCTCCCAGAGGCCGGCTGACCCACTTGACTTGGTTTCTACCCTGAAATGACCCCCCAGCCCTCTGTCTTTGTGCATCTGTCTCTATTTGGGCGAGCCCTTGTAGTGTGCTGATGACCCTGAAATTGTCTAGGAATATTCCTTTCTGTTTGTGCTGGGAACTGCACTGCTCTTGAATTGTCAAATATTTATGGAGACATAAACAAAGCCCACATTATGTGAGAGGTTCTGGCAGCCGGCTGGCGGTGGAGGCGGTGCTGACAGCCAACCAGCAACAGGGTGAGGACACAAAGGGTTCCTTAAAAAAAGGGAGACTGGTGCTGTGGTAAAATATTTGCATAATGTATGCCCCAGGAACGGAGAAGGGTTGGAGGAATGTTTACTGCCTAAATATTCCTCCCCGGAGAGTTGTTGATTTCCCACCCATTTTCTTTGTATGCTTTAAAGTTTTTTAAAATATATTTTTATTGATTTCAGAGGGGAAGGAAGAGGGAGAGAGAGATAGAAACATCAATATGAGAGAGATTCATTGACCGGCTGCCTCCTGCACACCCCACAATGGGGATTGAGCTGGCAACCCAGCCATATGCCCTGACTGGGAATCAAACCATGACCTCCTGGTTCATAGGTCAACGCTGAACCACTGAGCTACACAGGCTGGGCTCTTTGTATATTTTAAATGTCTGCCTTTTAGATAAACATTTTCTACCACTCCATTAAGGAATGGTTTAATTAATGGTGTGTGTGTGTGTGTGTGTGCTGTCCTTTAATTTAAACTATTAAAGCATGAAAAACTTTGGGGTTACACCCAACCAAGTTTCCCCAGGATAATGTGATTATATGAACATAGATATCCATCAGTTTGGTTTGCATTTTTCAGTCTGGAAGAAACCCGATGGCGGATTACACAGAAAAAGAAGAGAATCGATAGGCAGAAAGTCAGCATCCTAATATTCTCTGCAAACAGAGGCGTTTAATCACAGGCACATGACCACAATGAGAATTCAGTTCCCTATGGAATACAATGGGGCTCACAGCAGCCACCGGCGTTTTAACTCCTTCAGGGGTGAACAAGTTGTGTGCTAGGCCACACCCGGTTTCTGACTTATTCCTGGCTCTCGTTAGAGCCCATCCAGCACTTTGCCATTAGGGTCAGTGTTTCTGTAACATGGCTCTCTTAGATACCTGCAGCTCTGTGGCTTCTTACACTTGTCTATGCATACCTTTTGCCACAACCCCATGGGATAACCAAATTAATTTGATTTACTAAACTTTTAGTATTAATTAGTGCTTGGTAGACCAACCAGTGGTTGGATTCGTATATACCAACATTTGTGGTTAATTTGTGTTATACTATTTATTGAAACAGGATTTCATCTCTGTAACTCTTCTCTTGATTGGATTAAGAAAGCTCGTGATATAAGACGAGGACACATTTTTAAATCTTTCATTCAGCTGGTAGGTCTTGTAATACCTGCCTGCAGGGGTAGATCCAAGTTTTGTGAGTCCAAAAGTACACAGTTTGGGAGGCCATCTTTAAGATTACAGCCTGGCCGGTGTGGCTCAGTGGTTGAGTGTCGACCATGGTTCGATTCCCGGTTTGGGCACATGCTCAGGTTGAGGACTCCATGCCCAGGTTGCAGGCTCAATCCCTAGTGGGGGGCTCAATCCCCATGCAGGAGGCAGCTATCGATGATTCTTTCTCATTGATGTTTCTATCTCTCTCTCCCTCTCCCTTCCTCTCTGAAATCAATAAAAAAATATATTTTTAAAAAGACTAAGATTACAGATTATGCATCCAATATTAGATATAGGAACTTGGGAGGGCAGAACAGGTGAGGGGCCCTTGAGTTTGAGCTTCCTTAGCTTTAGGGTAAATCTGCCCCCTCCATATTCTGATGAAAACAAAGCCTGGTGTGGGGAGTGGAAATGAATGCCCATATTTCTCTGCAAGTATGTTTTCCTTCTTGTTCTATCAGGTTGCCTTGGGGAGTTAAAATGCAGAATTATTCTAACAAACCCAAGGCAGTGCTATAAATTCTAACTAATTTATTATAATAAACTTTCATATGCTAGAAAATTCTACACTGCTTTTGGTTCATTTCCCAGCTGGCAAAATTCAGTTTGAGGGGCTCTGGTTTTGAAATGCTGCTTCCAAGAGGAATGTTTATTTTAGATTGTTTTCTGGAGCCAAAGAGCCTTGGAGCAGAGGAACTCCAGATAGACCCAAGATGAGCAGTTGGAGGTATCTAAGGACCAGGGTCACAAATTACCAAGGAAATTTCTGGAGGAAGCCCAGAGTGATTTCAATAAGGGATGAGCCCACCAACCCCAGACTCAGTTCTCTGATGGAGGTACATTTCTTTCTGTGTTTGTGGTTACCCAGGCCTTGCTGCTCAGTGGGTCCTTACCTGAAGATGAGCAGGACAGGCCCTTGGCCCTCTGTGAACCAGGAGTCAATCCAGAGGAGCAACTGGTGAGCTCCATCTTTTGTGACAAAACCAAATAATCTGGTTAATTTACTTGATTTGTTTTTAGCATTTGACCACGTTTGTCTGCACCTGCTTGAAATGCACTCTTCCCTAACTCCAGCTCTCCTGGTTTTTCTCTTCTATTTTAGAGTACTTTTCCCTTCTATCTTCCTTTCATTCATTTAATCAACCAGCAAATATTTATTGAGCGCTGACTGTGCTAGTTGCTGTTTCAAGGTGCTGGAGATATGCTAATGCCAGAACAGTCCCAGGACCCTACCCTCGGGCATTACATTCAGGGGCCTTTTCTGCCTGAGCCTTAAATGCTTGCTCCTAGGACCCTCTCCTGTCTCATGCTTTCCCCTGGGTAATAGGTGCCCCCATGGCTTCATTCACCTCCCACCTGACTCAGATGTCGCCTCAAATATTTATTTCTAGCTCAGTTTCTCTGTGGACTTCTAGATTTATATATGCAACATGCAATTGCCTGTTATTACCTCCACTTGGGTATTCCATCAGCATCTCCATTTCAGTGCATCCTAAATTAAACAGCTTTTCTCTCCCTTCTCTCACCACCACCAAAACTACTTGTCCTTTTGGATTGTGTTTTTTATTACTGTCCATCTAGCCAAATACCCAAAACAAAAATCTAAATATCATTTTTTTAATCCTGTCTGACCCTTCCCTCTATAACCAATTAGTCACTAAATTTTGTCAGTTGACTTTTTAAATATCTTCATCCAGTTTTCTCCATTCTCACAGCCACTACTTTAATTCAGGCCTTTATCCAATATTCTAGCGACCTTCTAACTAGCTTTCCTGATTCCTCTCCTGTTCTTCCTGATTCATTTTGTATAAAACAGCAAGAATGATTTACCTTTAAGGGAAACCTCATTTTCTCATCTCTTCGCCTAAAATGTTTCATGGATTCCCCATTGCCCTCTCTGGCCTTTCATGATCTGGCCCCTATTTTTCTCTCCAACTTCATCCCTTGCTGTTTCTCTTTGCCTTTGCCCAACCTCCTGCATCCAACACATATTTACTTACTCTACTATAAACTTTGTCCATATTCATCTCCTTCCATCTCCCTGGGCATATGCGTCCACTAGAGAGCAGGCACTGTTTTCTATCCTTTGTATCCACAGTAGTGAGTGTTCAGTAGATACCTATTGAATGAATGGCCTCTGAATTTCACAGATTTGCCCAACATCCTGCATCCAACACATATTTACTCACTCTACTGTAAACTTTGTCCATATTTATCTGCTTCCATCTCCCTGGGCATATGCGTCCACTAGACTGTTTTCTATCCTTTGTATCCACAGTAGTAAGTGTTCAATAGATACCTATTGAATGAATGGCCTCTGAATTTCACAGCAGAGGTACTTAACCATCTCTTTTTGCCTTATGTTCAGATTATAATCCAAAGTCGTCTGGATCAGAGTGTGGAGGAGAATCAGGACCTAAAGGTATGTCAGGACATGTACCCTTTGAAAAAAATTCAAACTTCAGGACAGTAATAGGGAGGGGGTAAGGGATGCCGACTCATGACTCTAGCTGTACCTATGTCTGTATTATGCCTTTGATTGAAAGAGAGATGTGTCCTATATATGGCAAAAGGTAACATCTTTTTAATCTCAGTGATGAGTAATAGGCATCTATGTCATTATACCTTTTATGTTTGAAATGTTTCATTATTTTTTTAACTAATATAAAATAAAAATTGGATGTATTATCAGTATGCTCTTTTTTATAATTGACATAAACATATTAGTTTCAGATATACATCTTATTGGTTTCATATATATTATGTGTATATATATATAGAAATGATCACATAGTTAAAAATTTTTTCTTGTGATATCTTTTAAGATCTACTCTCTTAGCAACTTTCAGATATGCAGTATAATATCATCAAATGTAGTCCAGTATCTTTTTGTTGTTGTTAATCCTCACCCAAGAATATTTTCCCATTCGTTTCTAGAGAGAGTGGGGGGAGGGGGAGAGACACAGAGAGATGTGAGAGAGACACATTGACTAGTTGCCTCTCACATGCACCCCGACTGAAGCCAGGATCCTTCAGTCTGTATTAGTTTCAGATAAACATCTTATTGGTTTCATATATATTATGTGTAGATATATATATAGAAATGATCACATAGTTAAAATTTTTTTCTTGTGATGATATCTTTTAAGATCTACTCTCTTAGCAACTTTCAAATATGCAGTATAATATTATCAAATATAGTCCAGTATCTTTTTGTTGTTGTTAATCCTCACCCAAGAATATTTTCCCATTCATTTCTAGAGAGAGTGGGAGGGAGGGGGAGAGACACAGAGAGAGAAACATTTATGTGAGAGAGACACATCGACTAGTTGCCTATCACATGCACCCCGACTGAAGCCAGGATCCTTCAGTCTGCAGGCCGACACTCTGTCCACTGAGCCAAACTGGCTAGGGCAGAGTCCAGATCTTTTTAAATGAATACTTCCCAGAATTATTTTAGGTCAGTGGATCTTAACTTTTTTTTGAGCCCTAAGTATAGCCTAAAACCATTAACCCTCTCCCCAGAAATATGCAAGAGCACATGCACACACACTCACTGACTTGAATTTTTGGAGCCCATCTGTGGAGTCCAGGTTAACCGTTTCCATTTTGGATGTGTTAATTCCAAACTCTTGATGTGATGCAATAAGATGAGAGTGGGTCCGAGTTATGGGTGTTCCTCTCCTAAAATCTCTTTCCTAGTGATAATCATATACGTATGTTTAATCTATTGTCAAGGAGGGGTAATTACTTGGCACTGCATTATTGGGCTAAATTTATTTTTGTTTGGTCCATGAAAAACAACACGCTCTTGGAGAATCAGTAGCAGTTTGACCCTTGGTTAAACATTAGAAACGAAGATAATCATTGAAGACATTGGGGGTAGGCATATTGAGATGGATCACGTATTTCATGAGAGGGATTTAGATTATTATGATTCCGTTTCCTGGTGGTGAAGATTGCTAATTGTAGGAGTGAAAGCCTATGGGACTGTGTGGTGTCTTCTTTCTTGGCGTTGGGCCTGGGTGCCACAGGGCAGAATGGACTGGGTCAGCCTTCACTGTTCACTGGACCAGACCTTTCTGCCTCAGTACACAGTTACTTTTTCATAGGATGGTTATCTGAGTTTTGCGTTCCTACTGACAGAACGAGGTAACGCATCTGAAGCAGCCCAGATGCTCCATCTGATCTAACTGTGTTTGCTTTGCAGAAGGACTTGCTGAAATGTAAACAAGAAGCCAGAAACTTACAGGGGATAAAGGTAAAAAGGAAGACATTTAAATCTTTAAATAAATTATCTACAAGGTCGAGTAGTCTACTGGTAAGAGTAGGTGCTAGGAGGCTGGATGGGTCCTCTAGTCTTTCTTTGTATACATGGTGGGGCCTTTGGCGGACTCTGTGCTGTTAGGAAAGGGAGAGCTTTGTGGATGGGAAGTGAGATGTGGTAAGGAATATCCACCTTCGTTTTGCTGAGGCTCATTTCTGGGGGTTATGACCCCTGGTGCTGCCACTTCCCTCTGTGCTGCTTTGTTTGTTTCTATCTATAAACAATCAATTCCTACAGTTCTCTTCAGTTTTATTTTTATATCTGTTCTAAAGAGGTATATCCTCTTAAAAATTGTAATTTACTTAGTTCTTGAATAGTTAATAGTATTGAAATGGTTTAAAGTCAATAAGGTACAAAAAGATAATCCTTGAAAAGCCTGACTTCTGGCCCTGTCCCCCCAGTCACCTAGTTCTTCCTCCTGGAGGCAACTTATCAGTTATCAACAAATCCTATATAATAAAAGCCTAATATGCTGTGTCTGGTGGACTGGTTGGCCAAGGTGTAATATGCTAATGATATGCTAAGGCCGCTCAACTGCTTACTATGACGTGCACTGGTAGGTTAGCTTGCTGCTGGGATCCGGCTGATCGGGACTATGTGAGATGGACCGGACACGCCTTGGAGCCCTCCCACAGTCCCTCACTGGCTGGCCAACCTCCCGCGTCTCTCCAAGGCCCCGATCATGCACTGGTTGGGTCCCTCGGCCTGGCCTGCGCCCTCTCACAACCCAGGACCCCTCGGGGTATGTTGGAGAGCTGGTTTTGGCCCGATCCCACAGGGGGATTGCCGCTCAGCCAGAAGCCGTCAGCCGGACATCCCCCAAGGGCTCCTGGACTGCGAAAGGGCGCAGGCTGGGCTGAGGGGGCCCCCCCCCCCCAGTGCACGAATTCAGTGCACCAGGCCTCTAGTGCACCCTATATAATAAAGAGGTAATATGCAAATTGACCATCACTCCAACACACAAGATGGCCGCTCCCATGTGGCCACAAGATGGCCTGCAGGGGAGGGCAGTTGTGGGCAATCAGGCCAGCAGGGGAGGACAGTTAGGGGCGACCAGGCCTTCAGGGGAGGGCAGTTGAGGGCAACCAGGCCTGTAGGGGAAGGAGGGAAGTTGGAGGCAAACAGGCCAGCAGGGGAGGGCAGTTAGGGGTGACCAGGGTGGCAGGGGAGGGCAGTTGGGGTGACCAGGCCTGCAGGGGAGGGCAGTTGGGGGTGACCAGGCCAGCAGGGGAGGGCAGTTGGAGCGATTGGGCTGGCAGAGGAGCAGTTAGGTGTCGATCAGGCTGGCAGGGGAGTTGTTATGTCAGAGAGCCATTTTTGGCCTGATTCCCGCAGGCCAGGCCGAGGGACCCCACTGGTGCATGAATCTGTGCACCAGGCCTCTAGTACATACATAATTTCCCCCCAAATAATAGTATACAGCAAATACAGCTTGACATGTTGCTTGTGGCTGCACAGTGTGCCACTATATGTGATTATTTAATCACTTGCTCATACAACCAGTGATATAGCTAATCACCTTGAATGTATGTTATTTCACCCAAGTGGGAGCATGTCTGTTTATAAATACTGGAAGTGGAAAACAGTGTTCCCCTCTTCCCTGCACTTCCATTCGTGGGCTAGACTAGAGCATTTTCAGAGCCTTAATCCTTTGAGATACTTCAGAAACAAACGTGTTCCATGGTCAAGTAAGTTTGAGAGCTGCCCTCTGGACTTGAAGAGTCACAGTGAATAGTAACATATTAAAGGACCCGGGGAGGTTTCTCGTAAGGAAGGTGGCCCAAAGCAAGTTTAGAATTATTAACCACAGAAGCTCTTTTCCTCCCATGGAGCACTGGGAAATGTTCCTCTGAACTGCTGGTGCCAGGGCCTCTTAGACTGCCTTTGCTATGTGCCGTCCTGGCAGACAGCATGTTCAGGAATGGGCTCCCACCTTCTCCAGAGCTCGCACCATTTCTGTGTAGTCTGTAAAGAGAGGAAAGTCAGGGTCAATACGTTGGAATGCAGCCCCAGTCCACAGTTCCATTGGAGGTCACAGTGGTTGGAGGAATGACCCTTTTAAGTAAGTATGTATAACTCACCTTTTCTTAAGCATGGGAGAAACCAAGGGTGTCCAAGCTGAGAGAAAGATAGCCTGAAGTTGGTAAGGTTCTAGGATATGGGAGGAGGAACCATAGTCCAAGAGCAGTTCTGAGCATGGAACTATGTATATTCCCAGTCCTGGTCCAGGTTAGGCATGGAAGCCCCAGCAGGTGCAGGGCTCTGGGAGGCGGGGTGGAGGGACCTCAGGGATTCTGGATGAATAGGGTGGCAGGCAGAGATAGGCTTGCTAGGAAATGGGGAGTCAGCAGCGAGGTAGACTGAGTATTTATATGCCCAAGACATAGATGAGAAAGCCAGGGGGGAGGAAGGAGAGTGCATCGTCCAAGGTCAGTCACAAAAGTAAGTGGTGAACTTGTCATTTGAATCTAAGTCCTTTTTATTCCCCAAGACCTCGCCCTAGGACACCACACCGTCAGGAATGATGCAGAGGGTAGTGGTGAGTACCAAGTGAAGGAAAAATCGGGTTTCATGTAGTTTGGTAGGACAATGGATAGGATTGTCCTTTAGGTGCCACTGTCCTGGAAGGGGCAGAAAACCCCTGCTCATCTCCTGTGGCCACTGAAGTCACTCCCACTGGCGTTGCCAGAATTAATGCTGGATACGCAGTGAGGGGGTTAATAACTTAGTAATAACCGGCTGGCTGATTAATTGGGACCACAATAATCAGTATGCTTTCCCCCCAGGATGCCTTGCAGCAGAGGTTGACTCAGCAGGACACATCTGTTCTTCAGCTCAAACAAGAGCTACTGCGGGCAAATATGGACAAAGATGAGCTGCACAACCAGAATGTGAGTTAAATGAATGAACTCTGACCTCACTGAACCCCAGGAGCAAAACAGGGTCCTGCATGAAGTCCCGTTAGGTCTGCTGTCCTAATCTCCCAATTTCAGGTCTGCTCTCAGTGTCTGCAGTTATTTTATTTCCTGTCAGACTTGCGTCTGTTCCCAAGGGAGAGCCTCCAACACACTGGCCTCAAGCCCTTCAGCGTTGAGGACACCGAGACACGGAGGCTGCACTGTGTCCACAGTCTGTGTAGACACGCAGAGCAGCTGTGTGACTACCACAGCCATGCCCTCTGCTTCCCACAGGAACCCTGGTTACTAAATAGCTAGTTTCCTGCTGGGCTTGGCAGACAGCACCTCTCTGCCATTAATTCTTTCTTATCCTTCTTGCAGGTGGATCTGCAGAGGAAGCTAGATGAGAGGAACCGGCTCTTGGGAGAATATAAAGTAAGAATGGACGTCAGTTTGGAAATAATTTCCACCTGACCATGTCTTATGAACAGCCCATGTTGCTGTTGTTCACAGAGCACTTAAGTACTCTGTGCTCATCCTTGCTTTTGGCAAGGAAATCCTTTTCTGTGTTCCCTTGATTCACTCACCCTAACCCTGAAGATAGAGAGCATGGCTAGGAGAAGGAGCACAGAACTAGGAGTGTGGCAACCTCAGTTCAGTCCTACCCTTTCTATCTAACTAGCATGGATAGCATGTAGTGGTCCTTCTGCAAACAGTAGTTCCCTTTCTCCTTACCCTTCCAAGAACCCTTTGCGCTGTGCAAGACTGCTGTGGTGTGTGTGGTGTGGGGTGTAGCTTGAGGAAAGCACCGTTCCCCCAAGGCTCCGCTTTCCTCCCATGGAAGTTGCATCGCAAGGGGTGAACTGTTTGATGTTCTTGACTTTGCCACATCTGAACGCTCTCTCTCTACTGCAGAAGGAGCTGGGGCAGAAGGACCGCCTCCTTCAGCATCACCAGGCCAAGCTGGAGGAAGCACTCCGGAAACTCTCTGAGGCCAGTTACCAGCAGGTGGGGACATCTTCAGCCACGGACTTTCCTGTCCCTGTGGCCTGAAGAAATGCTTTCCTGACTTAGTCTCTGGTGTGCAGGTGGATCTCGAGCGGGAGCTAGAACACAAGGATGTCCTTTTGGCTCACTGTATGAAAAGAGAGGCAGATGAGGTAACCTCCAACTCGGGGTCTCCCTCCCACATTTACAAGGGCAAAGAGGGGGGTTTTGTTTCTGAATCAGGACTGAACCAAGGCCACAGGTCAGTTTTTTAGGAGGTTATTTGGTGAGGGGGTTATGAATGCAGAATCCAGGATAAGAAAATCTGGTTTCATATACATCTTTACCACTTTCTAAAATTAAATTTATTGGGGTAACATTGGTACATCTTTACCACTTTTGACCATTGTGTGACTTTAATTTACTTGCTTCTGAACCTTAGAAATAAGGCTCATCTGGAAAATGGAAATAATAGTGGCCCTCTCTGCCATTATGAAGAATACATAAAATAACCCAGGTATGGGGGGTGGGAGTGTCTGGGAGAGGTCAATGGGGGGGAAAAGGAGACATATATAATACTTTCAATAATAAAGAGTTTAAATTAAAAAAAATAATAATCCAGGTAGATGACTAAACATAGTCCTGGTAGATCCACCTGGCTCAGAATCAGGATCAAGAAAAGTTAGTCGTTACGTGGTTGGTGTGGCTCCGTAGTTGAGCATCGACCCATGAACCGGGAGGTCACAGTTCAATTCCCAGTCAGGGCACATGCCCGGGTTACTGGTTCGATTCCCAGTAGGGGACGTGCAGGAGGCAGCTGATCAATGATTCTTTTTTTTTTTTTTAAGGTTTTTTTTAAGTTTTAAGTTTTATTGAATTTTTACAGAGAGGAAAGGAGAGGGATAGAGAGTTAGAAACATCAATCAGCTGCCTCCTGCACACCTCCTACTGAGAATGTGCCCGCAACCAAGGTACATGCCCTTGACCAGAATCGAACCTGGGACCCTTCAGTCTGCAGGCCAAGGCTCTATCCACTGAGACAAACCGGTTAGGGGAGCGGTTCTCAACCTGTGGGTCCCGACCCCTTTGGCAAGTCGAACGACCCTTTCACAGGGGTCGCCTAAGACCATCCTGCATATCAGATACTTACATTACAATTCATAACAGTAGCAACATTACAGTGATGAAGTAGCAACATAAATAATTTTATGGTTGGGTCACAACATGAGGAACTGTATTTAAAGGGCCAGAAAGTTGAGAACCACTGGGTTAGGGCATCAATGATTCTTAATATTGATGTTTCTATCCCTCTCTCCCTTCCTCTCTCTCTGAAATCAATAAAAAGATATTTCAAAAAGGAAGGAAGGAAGGAAGGAAGGAAGGAAGGAAGGAAGGAAGGAAGGTTAGTCATTGTTTTTATTTTTAAATGACTGAAGCAAAGGCCAGAGGTGCTGTAGCAGCATTCTCAGGCCCTCCAGTGGCCAGGCAGAGTCTAGGTTGGGGGCTTCCCAGCTGAGGTTTCCCTTTTGTTTATTCTACATTCAGCAGTGCCTGTGAAGGGTCAAGTACAGGGGATGCAGCGATGAACAAAGGGGGAAAAAGCCCTGTACATTCTAATAGAGATATGAAACAGATATATAATTATATAATTATAAACTATGTCAGAAAGTGACAAATGTAAAGAAGAAAAGTAAGACAGGACATCTTGGTTTGGAATTCTCTCACAACAAGCATCATTTCTTCTTGCTGCTGTAGGTGACCAATTACAACAGTCACAGCTCTCAAAGCAATGGTTTTCTCCCTCCGGCGGCAGGAAAAGGAGCCGCTTCAATCACTCCTAGAGGGGTAGGTTCTTAAGATTTGAGTGCAGACCTGCCACTTGCAGCTGAAACCAGAAGAGCACCTTAGCCATCACCAGTGGGCTCGCCTTTTGTATCCCACTTCCCTATTCTTGCATCTGTTGGGTGTGTAAAGATCTGAGGCACTTGTTATTCGAAATGAAGAATTGGTGGGAAACAGTAGGCCTGCTTCTGTGGAGGACTATTTCCTATAATCCACACCTCCTCCCTCAAAAATAAAAGATCTATCCTGGAAATTCCTCCCCGATGTCTTCTTAAGCCCAGTGGCCAGGATATGGTTAATGACATGACCCTGCAGCATGCCAGCAGCACCTCACTCTCGCCCACAGACCAGCGACCTGCAGCTCGTGCGCGATGCTCTCCGCAGCCTGCGCAACAGCTTCAGCGGCCACGACCCTCAGCACCACACCATCGACAGCCTGGAGCAGGGCATCTCCAGCCTCATGGAGCGCCTGCATGTCATGGAGACCCAGCAGAAGCAAGAAAAAAGGGTAATCCTCGTTCTCCGCTGTTTCTCTTAGGCAAGCTCTCAAAGAAGCTTAACTTTATCCATTTTAATCTAGAGGAAGGCAGTGCTAAAGGATGAGACCCTGCTGAAGGTTGCAGTTGCTTTTCTCTTTGGTTTTCCTTTTCATCATGGTTTGACAATCCAGGGAGGGAGTTCATGGTAACTCTCACTCCTAGCAACTGTTTAACTATCGAAGGAATTGTGGTGCTTGGCCCCACAGCTCTCTCTTTACTGCTTATTTCCCTTCCCCTTCTCCCCTGAATGAGCTCGCATTAGATGAGGCAATATATGGGAAATGCTTGAAAATTAGAAAGCCTTTTATAAATGTGCATTATTATTGTTAGAATAAATATGTACAGTTTTATACACTGTGGAAGAAGATGTATATTCTAGGCAAATGGTAGAAAGAGTATATTTTAGGCACACTTTTAAAATTTAAATTTCTTGGTTAAGTTCTGCTGTTGATCATAATTCTTGTGATTTTTGTGTGGCTCTCCAGGTTCGGGGCAAGTCACCCAGAACTCAAGCAGGTAGTGAATACCGGGAGTCCTGGCCCCCTAATTCCAGTAAGTGCTCATTATTGCTCAGTAAGGTCTCCTAGAATATTAGATCAGACGTTAGTATTTTGTGGATCAAATTTTTCTTATATAATTTCACTTTTATAATGTGTTGTTTCTGGAGCAATACTAGTTAGTATCGAGTTATTTCTAGGACTATGAAGATACCATCATCATCACCTCTAGCACTTCAAGTACCATTTATTTAACCATGTGCAGGGTGCTGTTCTGTTGACTCAGAAAGCCTAAAATATCTTTGGGAAATACTATAAGCTTAAAACATTTATACCAAATAAAACAAAATTTAAGACAACAAAAACACACACAAATCATCCTACAACCCAAATAGCACAGAAAATTCCAGTTCTTCCTTGCAGCAACAAGCTTGATTTTGGGGGGGATTTTCCTTAAAACTTTGATTGCTTATTATGTCATTCGGTTTAAGTCCTGCAAAATCGTTCCGCCATCTAGTGGTCATGGCTAGGTAGTATTTTTTACCAGCTCTATGCCTACTCATTACATTTTCCCCCCTATTCATTCCAACATGTTGGAAATCTACCCTGCCTCATAATTTCTGTTTTACTCTATATCTTACCTTTTGATTTAATAACATTCACATTTTATTATCTTTTATAGTTTACCCAGACCCAATCTAAAAGTATGTAAATAATTTTCAAAAACCAAATAGTATAAAGCTAACCATAACCAGTTTTGTATTTCACATATGCAATTAAGAAAATAATAATAAACAAAACCTAAAGTATATCCTGGCCAGTGTTTCTTAGTGGTTAGAGCGTTCGCCTGCAGACCAAAGGGTCCGGGTTCGATTCCTGTCAAGGGCACATACCTTGGTTGCAGGCTTCTCCCGCATGCAGGAGGCAACCAATTGATGTGTTTCTCTCACATTGATGTTTCTCACTATCCTTCCCTCTCTCTTCCACTCTCTATAAAAGATCAATGGAAAAATATTAACAACAACAAAAAAGAAACATGAAACCTTGGCCAGCGTGGCTCAGTGGTTGAGTCTTGACCTATGAAGCAGGAGGTCACAGTTCGATTTGCAGTCAGGGCACATGCTTGAGTTGCGGGCTCCCCAGTGGGGGGCATGCAGGAGGCAGATGATCAGTGATTCTCTCTCATCATTGATGTTTCTATCTCTCCCTCTCCCTTCCTCTCTGAAATCAATAAAAGATATATATTTTAAAAAACCACACTAAGATATCATTTAAAAAAGGGAAATATGACAAAGAAGAGTAAAATAAACCCAAAGGAAGCAGAAGGAAGGAACTATTAAATACAAGAATAGAAATCCATGACATTGAAAACTGAAAATTAGAACAAAATCAAACAGAAAACTGGTCCTTTGAAAAGTATAATAAAATGGATAAAACTGTAGCCAGACTGCCCAAGAAAAAAAAGGAAAGACACAAATTACCATTAGAAATGAAAGAGAGAACAACACTATAGATTTTACAGATATTACACGCATACTAAGGAACAAACAATTTTATGCCCATAATTTTGACAACTTTGATGAAATGTATAAATTCCTGGAAAGACACAAACTACCAAAATTTACTCAAGAGGAAATAGATAAGCTGAATAGGTTTATAGTTATAATAAAATTGAATTTGTAGTTTAAGATGTTCCATCCATCAAGGAAAACTCCAGAGTCTGATAGATTCACTTAAGAAAAAAAATAATACAATTTCATACCAACTCTTCCAGAAAATAAGAGAAACAACATTTCCTAACACATTTTATTTTACCCTGATTCCAATCAGTATCTCTGATGAACATAGATGCAGGAAAAGAAAGAAAAGGCATAGAGATTTGAAAAGAAGATGCAAAACTGCTCTGTTTGTAGATGACATGATTGTCTATAGGGCATATCCCAAAGAATCTATAATAAAGCTACTAAAACTAAGAAATGAGGTTAGCCCGGCCTCTGTAGTTCAGTGGTTGAATGTCAACCTATGAACCAGGAGGTCACGGTTTGATTACGGGTCAGGGCATGTGCTGGGGTTTTGAGCTCCATCCCTGGTAGGGGGTGTGTGAGAGGCAACCAATCAATGATTCTCTCTTATTGATATTTCTATCTCTCCCTCTCTCTCTGAAATAATATATATTTTTAAATAAATGAGTTTGGGATCCTTTTGTAGTTCATAAGCGTGATGATTGGGTATTCACGCTGCTGTGTGAGATGTGCCTCCCACGAACCTTGTTACACCTTTGGCACATTACCTGTCTGACGTGAAAAAATGAAAAAAGAAAAAAAGAAATGAGTTTAGCAAGGTTACCGGACACAATTGTACTTCTATATACTAGCAATGAATACTTGGAAATAGAAAAAAAAATTTAAGTACCACTTATAGTAGGACCAAAAAGCATTAAATACATAGGTACCAACCAATCTTATAAAATATGTGCAACGTTTCTATGTTGAAAACTATAGAACACAGCCCGGCTGGCATAGCTCTGTGGTTGAGCATCGACCTATGAACCAGGAGGTCACAGGTTGATTCCCAGTCAGGGCATATGCACGGATTGCGGGCTCAATCCCCACTGTGGGCGTGCAGGAGGCAGCTGATTAATGGTTCTCTCTCATCATTGATGTTTCTATCTCTCTCTCCCTTTCCCATCCTCTCTGAAATCAATAAAAATATATTTTAAAAAAGAAAGCTATAGAACACAGATGAAATAAATCAAAGAACATATAAAGAAACGGGAAGATATACCATGTTTCTTGATTAGAGTACTCAATATTGTTAAGATGATCCATTCTCCCAAAATAATCTATAGCTTCAATCATATTCTAATAAAAATCCTTTTGTAGATATAAACAAGCTGATTCTAAAATTTATATGGAACAATAAAGGGATTAAAATAGCCACACAGGCTGGAGGGGGTTAATGGGGGGGGGGAGGTGACATATGTAATACTTTTAACAATAAAGAATTATTTTTTTTTTAAAAAGGAATAGCCATACAGAAAAAGTTGAGAAAGATGAACAAAGTATTTGGATGACCACACTATTTGATTTCAAAACTAAAAAGTTAGTACAGTATAGGTGAATGCATAGACACATAGATTAGTGGAACAAAACAGAGAGTTCAGAAATATTTGGCCAGTAGATTTTCAGTAGCTGTGAAAGGGCTAGTCAATGGCAAAAGGATCGAAGGTTTAGGTTACCCAACCAGAAAAAAAAATACAACACAGAAGGACAGGCTTTTCAACACATGGTCTTGGAGTAATTAAAGACCCATATAAAAACAGTCTTGACACATACCTTATGCCATATACAAAAATTAACTCCAGATGATCATGAACTTAAAAACTAAAATTGATTTGTGATGCCTTTTAAAGTTATGTATTAAATTTACACACACACACACACACACACACACAAAGATTTGTTTTGGGGTCTTTTATTTGAGCTTTTTGTACATGCTTTTTATAGTAATTTCACACTGAAGTGACAATTATTTTAACATGATTTAATGTTGTGTAAGGCTTGCTCTCCCTCATTACTCTCGTTTTCACTGGGAAAGTCTGTAATCCAACTCAGTCTTCTTTACTAATCAACTGAAACTGCTCTCTAATGTCATCGATGACCTAGTTACTAAACCTGTTTTTTAGTTACTAGACCTCTGTGTGGCATTTGACTTCATGATTACCCTTTCCTTGAAATTCACCCAGAATGTGTCATAACATTTGTATTAACTTGGGCTGCCATAACAAAACACCATGGACTGAGTGACTTAACAAACAGGAGTTTATTTTCTCACAGTTCTCCAAGATCAGGGTGCCAGCATGGCCAGGTTTTGGTGAGGGAGAGCTCTCTTCCTGGCTTGCAGATGGCTACCTTCTTGCTGTGTCCTCACATGGTGGAGAGAGAGCTCTGATGTCTGTTCCTCTTCTTATAAAGGCACCAGTTCTATGGGGTCAGGGCTCCACTCTTATAACGTCCCTTAACTTTAATCCATCCTTAAAGATACTGTCTGTAATACCATCACACTAGGGTTTATGGTTTCAACATATGAATTTGGGAAGGGCAGAATTCAGTACATAGCAATATTATTTTCACATTTTATTATATTGTAATTGTTTTGCTATTTCACCCCACTAGACTTTGAGCTCCTTAAAGATGGGGATTGGATCTAATTTATTTTTGCATCTCTAGTATTTGATACATAAAGGCAACCAATAAACATTTTAAAGTATGACATAACTCACCTCTCTATCCCTATATTAGTTAATAGTACTGTCATGCATCTTTTTTTATTTTATTATTGTTGACAGACTTACAGATGTCCTCCATTTCCCTCACCTCTACCCTCTTTCACCCCTCCTCCCCCCGGCCTTCGCCACATTGTCTACATCCATGGGCTCTGCATATATGCATATATGTTCTTGGGCTAATCTCTTCCATTCCCCCTCCCCTCTGAGATCTGACAGTCCGTTCCATGTATCCATGCTCTGGTCCTATTTTGTTCATTAGATTCCACATATGAGATCATATGTATTTGTCTTTCTCTGACGGGCTTATTTTGCTTAGCATAATAATCTCCATGTCCATCCATGCTGTCACAAAGTTCCTTCTTCTTCACAGCTACGTAGTCAGAAAGAATACATGCACCCCTGTGTTCACTGCCATGTTATTTACAATAGCCAAGATCTGGAAACAGCCCCAGTGCACATTAGTAGATGAATGGATAAGGAAGATGTGGTACATTTACACAGTGGAATACTGCCATGCATCTTTTCCCCCCAGACTATACTTCCCTTTTACCCCCAACATTCAACTGTATCCCAAGTACCAAGACTTTTCCCTTCTAAAAGTCCCTCAAATCTGCCTTAGCCAGTTTGGCTCAGTGGATAGAGCTTCAGCCTGCGGACTTGAAGGGTCCCCGGGTTTGATTCCCATCAAGGGCATATGCTTGAGCCCCAGTAGGGGGCGTGCAGGAGGCAGCCAATCAATGATTCTCTCATATCATTGATGTTTCTATCTCTCCCTCTCCCTTCCTCTCTGAAATCAATAAAAATATATTTAAAAAAATAAAAGATAAAGGTTCCTCAAATCCATTCCTTCTCTGACTCCATCTTGCCCTTCCTCATCTTTCAGATTGTTTTTAATTGCCTGTTAATGGGATTACTGGTTTCTAGTTTCTCCCATCCAACTCATACTTTACTTTGCTGCTAGATTGGCCTTCCTACTGTCTGATTATGTCACTCTTTTTCAGTATCTCCCCAGAGCTTACGACTAATATCTAAATGTTTTATGCTGGCAGAGTCCTTGTGATCTGTCCAGCCTTACTAGTTAACTTTTAATTTTTAAAATACATGATCACATTCCATGCACATACATGTATCCTTCCCTCTTGGAATGCCCTTTTCGACTTCTCTATCTGATGATTTTTTTAAAGTGCTTTATGGGGCCTTCTGATCTCTTCCAGGTGGAATTAACCACTCCATCTTCAGTCCTTCTGTGCAGTTTGCACAAGTCTGATTTCAGTGTAATTATTTATATCCATATTTGTCATCCATACTAGACTGTAAACTCTTTGAGGTCAGAGACCACATATGGTTGATTCTATATTCTCGAAATTTAGCACATGGTAAGTGTACAATCAATGTTTGTTGAATGAATGAATGAATCAATCAATAATAAAATTTAGTGATTAAAGTGACTGTTTTAGGTGCTAGAGTCCAAGGAGCATCATGGCATATAGTTTTAATAACTGGCATTCTTTGAAGAAAAATTCTGAAAACTGACTGTGATTGCTATACAAAGAATGAATGTTCCCTTGTCTTTCTTCCCCTGTATTAATTCTTCCCTCACACTCTCCTTTATTTGAAACCCCTTCCTAGAAATGCTCTCCTGTGGCTGCCAGTTTGAATGGGATCAATGTCTAGAAAAAGTTAAGAAGAAAATAAATGTAGATGGAATTGCAGGACAGATTTTTTTATTTTTGTTAATCCTCACCTGAGGATATATTTTGTTCCCTTGTCTTTCTTCCCCTGTATTAATTCTTCCCTCACACTCTCCTTTATTTGAAACCCCTTCCTAGAAATGCTCTCCTGTGGCTGCCAGTTTGAATGGGATCAATGTCTAGAAAAAGTTAAGAAGAAAATAAATGTAGATGGAATTGCAGGACAGATTTTTTTATTTTTGTTAATCCTCACCTGAGGATATATTTTTTTGAGAGGGAGGGGAAGAGAGGTGGGGGCGGGGACAGGCATCAACGTGAGAGAGACACATCAATCAGTTGTCTCCCCCACACATGCCCTGACCAGGGCAGGGATCCAACCTGAAACCCAGGTATGTGCCCTTGACCAGAATCAAACTCATGACCCTTTGGTGTGCCGGCTGATGCTCTAAACACTGAACACCGGCTAGGGCACAGGACAGATTTTAATGACACTTTATTATTTTTTGGTCCTTATGATAAAAGTTTCTGATTGGTCTTTCCTCCTGTTCTCTTACAGTCATAATCACAAGTACTCATTAATAAAAAGTTTCCAGTCCTGGTTGGTGTGGGTCAATTGGTTGAAGCGTCATTGTCACTGGGTTCTATTCCCAGTCAGGGCACATACCCAGATTGCGGTTCATTCTGGTCAGGGAACCTACCAATCAGTGTTTCTCTCTCACATTGATGTTTCTCTCTCCCCCACCCCTCTAAAATAAATTTTTAAAAATTCTAAAAAAATACAAATTTATTTTAAAACTAAATAAAAATTTTACATAAGTACCTATACAAAGCTAGAGTCAAGATGTGGATCAAGAGAACTGAGTTAAAAACCATGGGCCAACACATATAGATCCTCTGTAGCTAAGGGATAAGGTAGATCGTCTTAGACTGGAAGCATGAGGCTCCCTTGGCATCCGAGTTTCTAAGGTTATTTTGCTCCTGTGGTTCTTGTTCCAATTCATTTCTCATTTCATGAATTGCATGAGCATTCTCTACCACAGACCTCCAAAATGTAAGTGTTGGCAGTGTCTGCAGCTCCTGCTATGTGTCCATTCTGCCCTAGCTGAAATGTTGCTGGCTTCTCTGGCCTCTTTTGACTCTTAGCAACAATACCTGCAGAACAGTTACTATTTCCCTACTAGAAATATCTAGAATGGATAAGAAATGATGGTCTTTGTGGTAGTGTCCATATCCAAAGCACTTCCTGTCTTTGTGGCCCTAGTGGTGACTTCCTGTGGGTCACACCCTGTGGACTTGGTGTTTGGCAAGGGTGTGAAAAGAAAAGTGTACTGTGACCTCAGGCAGCTTCATCCTCCTGGGACATTTTTAAAAAATTTTATCTTTATTGTTGAAAGTTTGACAGATGTCCCCTTTTCCCCCATTAATTCCCTCCCCGCCTTTATCCTTCCTTCCCCCCAGGCCTTCACTTGCTGTCTGTCCATAGTTATGCATATGTGCATATAAATTCTTTGGTTAATCTCTTTCCCACCCCCCTGCCGTCCTCCTGGGACATTTAATAAACCTGGAAATGAGGGGTGGGTGGTTGCAAGTTGAATGTTCTGACCACAGTCTCTCTGATTGCAGCGTTGCCTCACTCACAGAGCTCTCCAACTGTCAGCAGCACCTGCACTAAAGTGCTCTATTTCACTGACCGGTCACTTACACCCTTCATGGTCAATATACCAAAGAGGTAAGATTCTTGGATCTATTTCTCTTTTTAAAAGGGCAGGAAGGGAGAATCATTAGTTACTGCCCATCCATCTAACCAGCTAAGAGGTGTTTGAGAAGCTGTATGGTGAGGTGAGGAGAGCACAGGACATAGAGATTCTAGTTTCAGCTTTACCAGGGGCATTACAAGGGACAAGTCATGATCTGCTAGGCACAGACACAACAACTATGCTTCCAATCTTGATATGCAAATAGGCTTCAAGTTAGGAAAATAGTTTAAGTGCTCAAAATAGTTCCTGCTGATAGCCATGGATTGCTATCATTGATCTTTGTTACTATTTGATTACTACAACTACCTTATTGAGAAATCATATTAAAAGAAACTGCAAACACTGGGCCAATATACTCCCTTCTAAGGTTAAAGGCTCTGAAATAAGATATTTAAGCTGTGGAACCAACTACTGAGAAAAGTAGTTTCTCAGATATGAAAGTGAGGATTTCTCTTTCTTAGAGTCTGCTTTTACTTGGTCTGGGTTAGAAGGGAGTTCAACAAATTAGATTTCAGAGACCTTATGTCTTTTATCCAGAGAAAAGGAAGAGAGTGATTTGGCTGTTGCTGAATAAATCTGTTTTAAATTCTCAGATCACCCCATTTGTAATGCCATTTTTATTCCCGAATGGTGACTGGCTTCCTAACCTCTGCTCTGTAGAATCATCTGGGTTATCAGGGGCAGTGACCTAACAAAACCAAACTATTTCTGCCTCAAGAGACTTTGGCAGGGGCCTGGGTTTAAAGCTAGCCTTATCTTTCCAACCTGTTGATAAACAGTCTATTTTAGAGCTCTATTTGTTGCAGGTTGGGGGAGGTGACATTGAAGGATTTTAAAGCAGCTATTGACCGAGAAGGGAATCACCGGTATCACTTCAAAGCGCTGGATCCTGAGTTTGGCACTGTTAAAGAGGAGGTACAGTGTTCCTGGGGAGTCTGGGTGGTATTATTGGTCGTTCCTTAACCCCAAAGCCTTCTACTCAAGGACTAGTATCCAGAAGTACCCGAGTTCCCTAACCAGGTCAGAGGAACTTCCCAAAGCCTCAGACCAGTCTGACTACTCTAGACTGAGAAGGTCAAGGAGTGGCCCAAGAAGTTGATAGCTGCTTTACTTCAGGGACTTAATTATTTTGACCAAACTTGTATAGAATTTTCATTTTAAGAAAAATAAAGGACCTTCGATTGAACAAAAGCTTGGCTTTGGGGTCCCTTTTGTATCTGTAGTCAAATCTTAGAAAACTTTCTGCTTCCTATGTAGAGCAAAATAAATAGGCAAGAATGTGGAACTGGTGTATATAGTGGTGGTAGTTTCTCAGATATGAAAGTGAGGAACTTCTGAAAAGTCAACTGTACTTATTCTTAACGCCTTGATTATTTTCTTAGCCTATGCTTCTCTTTCTAGTCCATCTGCTAAAAATAGACTTTTTTATGGAAAAGAGTTCTAGGTTATGGAATATAAGTGCTTTCATTGTAGTTTTAGAATGAAGAGGGTTGAGAAAGCCAGTATTTTATTTTGTAAATAGTTCCTCACTGAAATGTTTTGGTTTTTTAAAATATATTTTTATTGATTTCAGATAGGGAGAGGGAGAGATAGAAACATCAATGATGAGAGAGAATCATTGATCGGCTGTCTTCTGCATGCCCTCTACTAGGGGTTCAGCCTGCAACTTGGGCATGTGTCCTTGACTGGAATCCAACCTGGGACCCTTCAGTCTGCAGGCCGATGCTCTATCCACTGAGCAAAACTTGCTAGGGCCTCGCTGAAGTGTTTTAATAACCCTATTCTATTAGTGGCTTAGTAAATGAATTGAATGAATGAATGAATGAATGAGTGAAAAGAACTGCATGCAAACATGTTAAGATTGGTCTTTCTGACCAATTTTTTCTCCATTCTTGTTTTAATGTTTATACTGTTGCTTTCTCCTAAGAAGCCCAATGTACTATATGGCTCCTAATTTATGAATTCTTATATTTCTATGAGCAAGGTAGTGTTAGGGATGCTCTTACCATTTTATACATATGGAACTAAGACTAAGTAATAAAAGGCTAATATGCAAATCAACCGAACAGTGGAACGACCGGTCGCTATGATGTGCACTGACCACCAGGGGGCAGATGCTCAATGCAGGAGCTGCCCCCTGGTGGTTAGTGCACTCCCACAGGGGGAGCACTGCTCAGCCAGAAGCCAGGCTCATGGCTGATGAGCGCAGCAGGGGTGGTGGGGGAGCCTCTCCCACCTCCGCAGCAGTGCTAAGGATGTCTGACTGACTGACAGCGCCCTGACTGCAAGAGGGTGCAGGCTGTCTGAGGGACCCCTGCCCCCCCCGCCCCCGAGTGCATGAATCTCGTGCACCAGGCCTCTAGTTATGTATATAATTTTTTTTACCCGTTACAACTTTAGGGACAAAACCAAATGGACATAGACTCTAACACTCAAACTCAAAGCTTTCCTCTACACTTTTTGTTGTTGTTATTCCTCACTTGAGGATATCTTTTCCATTGATTTTTAGAGAGGGAGGGGAGGGAGGGAGGGAGGGAGGAAGAGAGAGAGAGAGAGAGACATTGAAGTGAGAGACACCGATTCGTTGCCTCCGCATGCATCCCGACCAGGCTTGGGGTCAAACCTGCAACCCAGGTACGTGCCCTTGACTGAGATCAAACCCATGACCCTTTGGTGTGCAGGTCAACACTCTAACCACTGAGAAACACTGGTGGCCAGGTCCTCTAAGCTTTCTTATCCTTTATATTTGAGGTCTCATTTTTATCAGCAGCAGTTGTTTAGTGAGACTTCCTATCTTAGTGTTCTTTTTTTCATTATGGCTTTTTTTCTTTCTCCAGGTTTTCCATGATGATGATGCCATCCCTGGATGGGAAGGGAAAATTGTAGCCTGGGTAGAAGAAGACCGTGGGGAGAATTAATTCTAAGTATTGGATTTGGGCTAGTGGAACTTGGCATGCCCTGGCTGCTTCACTCAGGAACGAGAACTAAAACTAGAATACCCTGCAAAGTTTCTAGTTCGTGCTGCCAAAATGGAAGCTTCTCCAAGTGTGACAGCCACAGGCCAGTCGTTTCTGTGCCTGATGTATGTGGTACTTAAAATCCCTGTCCAAATGTAGACCATGAATTCATCTGGAGTTCCTTGTCCGTGGGAACACAGTATTTTATTCTACTCTGAGGACAACAAACCGATGGCCTTAACCAATAGGATGGACGATCTTGCTCCTGTAGGGGCATGGCTGCTACTATCTGGAACCTGGGAATTGGATGCATCACTCTGCTGTGTTATTTCAATTGGCCTCAGTGGTTGCAGCAATCAGAGTCCAGCAATTGTACTCACAGACAAGGCAAAGATACCAGCTTTTTTGCTTCTTTGCAGCTATTACAAACCAAGAATAACTCATGGGGTGGTACCAAAGATGAAAGCCACTCGTCAGGAATCTTTTGGATTGGACATGGATGGTACTGAATTGTTAGTTGGATGGAAAAAGGGCTGCCCATATTTGTGCTATACTGTGCTAAAACCATAATTAAGTAAGACCTCGGGCTGCCTCTTGTGTCTTAACTGGTTCTGCAACTTGTCCTTTAGCCCACAGGGCATAGTACATGTACTGCTAGTTTTCTCTGGGGACTCTTCAACTTTAGAGCCATTTTTTCCCCTTCCAACTGATGAATTTTATATTTGAAAGGAGTAAGGAGTGAAAGTCTCCTTAAAAATCCAGGCGGGTATGGAAAGGTGCTGCTACCCATATCTTCTTGACTTACTTTCTCTCATGACTTTCTTTAGCTCATGGCATCTCCTTTGCAATTAAAAGGAGACAGACCATTAATTTCAGTATTTGTGGTTTATGAAGTAGTGAGCATGAGTTACTGATCTGCCCTTCTTTAGTTCAAGGCCAGAGTTATTTTTTCATATATTTAGTCTAGGCTGATCCTTTAGGGCACAATAGAAACCATGGGGCATGGAGCATGAGTTGTAAATGGCAGGGCTGATTCTGGGTGAAAAGACCTAGAATTCTTTCTCATGTGTAACATTGTCAAATGTAAAGTTAAAATAGTTAAATTTCTAGAGATTACTCAATACTTGGGTTTTCTCATTCATTCATCAAACACTATCAACCAGCCATCATGAGAGAGAGAGAGAGAGAGAGAGAGAGAGAGAGAGAGAGAGAAAGAGAATGTTTGCTTTCCAAAAGCAGTCTGCCTGTGACCACCAATGTACACTGCCAACCAGGAGAGTTGGGCAGGTCAGTTCTGGGTTCTTGACCTGTCTGTCTCTAGTTCATCTTCCCTTTTCTGCCATTTCAACAGACTACTCACTCATTGGAGCTCTGAGATGACATTTTGTTGTTTTATAAAGATGTGTTTGGAGAATTCTTTTGTACTCATTTGCTTTTTTGTCTGAGAACCATGTCTATTTTTATAATGAGTGTGAGTTCTGTATATTCTCACGTTGTGTATACTGTGTCCATTGTCTGGAGAACCCAGTAGCTTTTATATGGGCTCTTCTTATCAGCCCTTGTGGTTTCCGAACGAGCTTTATTTTATTACAAGCATACTAATGGTAACTCCTGTTCCAGTTCTACCTGTCATAGTGTGGAGGTAGGTTTACATAATCTATTTGATAGTTCTTCTAGCAGACAGATCAAAAGACACCTGCTGTCTTCATGTATGTTTACCTGGTCTTCTATTGAAGGATGATTTCTCATCAGAAATGACTGTCAAAACTTGGGAAAGTCAGTCATAAGTAAGAATAATTCATTATGAAAGCACTCTGGTATATTCTCAGTTTATTTTTCCCCCAGAAAGTCTGGAGAAAAAGTCCTAATGTCACTAATTTGTCTGTTGCATGGATTTTAGTGTTTTGCTATAAGACAGCATGAGGGTTATCAGGCCAAAATTCATTACTATATTTCCAGTACAATTTACCTTGAGTGTCTGTCTCTTAAATCAGTTTGTACTTGTCAGTTTTCTTTCAGCAAACATTCTTACCATCATGTAGAATTTACCTTTTCAGAGAAAATTAAATCAGATAAAAATTTCAAAATTCTCTAGCTTTTTTGTTTTTTATCTCTATGTCCTTTGGAAAAGGAGCTGCATGGCCTGCCTCCATAGAAAGCAGAAGTTGAGTTCAGGGGAGAAAATGAGGTAATTTTTTCCCTTTAGCTCATCGATCTAATATGCACTAAGCACCTCCGTTACAGGATGTCACCCCAATAATTCTTGTGTAAAATGTGTTGGTAATCTTCATTCCAGTTCCTAGAGAGAGAGAAGCCTTCTGGGGAGGAGTGTGCATTGATTCATGCTGGTGTGAATAGTCCCTTTTGGATATACTGTGGCTGTACTCTAGGAGGTCTCTTGACTTACTCGAGTCTTGTCCCCTAGCGGCTTTTGTGTGGGGCAGCCCATCCTGTGACTGCTGAAGTTCTCTTTCTTTGAGAAATCTAAGGAACTAGAATGTTTATAGAGTTCATAAAATAATTTTTATATCCTGTTAGATTTTTAAAAATGATCCTCTTATACAAACTAGTCTATTCAAAAACTCAATTCCTTTAAAAGTTTTCATTTAAAAACAAAATGTGCTTAGTCAGTTCCCTAATTAGCTGAAAGTGGAACACTTTACAATTTGTACCTAAATAATTCAGGTTAAACTCACTTGAAATGACAACCCTACTTATTGACCAACTTTTCAGCTCTTTTTGACCAGGATGGTTGTAAATTAGGGAAAATATCTTATGCTCTACATCCAATCCAAGAGGACTCTAAATTACTTAAAAGCATTTAGGTCACAATAATTTTCATTTTTTCCTATAAAATAAACATTATGATTGCACACTTCTATTGTCTGAATTTATGTTAAGAGGTATAGCTTGTTTAAAATATATATGTAAAATTATATTTTCTTAGAAACACGGATGTTTGCAACCATTGCTTTCAAAGAGATTACCATGTATTCCCTGTTTTACAATGTGTTTTCATAAAGACCATGGTTATACCAGAGGCTTCTGATTATCAAAGTGATAACCAGTTTTAACCGCCTGTATATACCAGATCTGTGAACTAATTTAAAAAACAACAACACCAAACTATGAATAAAATGGAGTTTGCAAACCAAATACTATTAATCATTTTCACTTGTGTTTATTGACTGAAAGTAATCAATAAGCAATTTACATTTAGTGAAAGTAAATTTCCTCAAGTGATCTCCCTGGTAGCATGTTTACTCATTACTTGAGTAGTGGAGATAAGGACTACTTTATTGCTACAGATATTTTACTATTGGTATTTACAATGTAAGCACAAAACAGATTATTATAAAAGAGAATTCATTGATTTAGCACTTATTTTGAAACTATATAAAAATATGCAAACAAATAAGAACCCAAGAGTGCAAACCTTTTTAGAGTTTTGAGTTTTCCTTTTCTTTAAATTCCTTTACCAATCTGTTTAGGGGAGTTCAGGACTGATTTGAGGAATGTAAGAATTCCTAGCCTATCTCTGGGGTCAACTTATTATCCCGGGACTGTTTGACCTGTGCCCTCCTATGATTTAGCTATACCTGTCAAAAGTAAATTCAGCCCTGGCTGAGTTGCTTGGTGGGAGTGTTGTCCCATGCACCAAAAGGTTTGGGGTTCGAGTTGGGGCACCCAATTGATGCTGTTTCTCTCTCTCTAAACATCAGTTTAAAAAATACTTATCCTTGGGTGAGAATTTATTTATTTATTTAAAACACATTCTTGCCCTAGCTGGTTTGGCTCAGTGGATAGAGCATCGGCCTGGGAACTGAAGGGTCCTGGGTTCGATTCTGGTCAAGAGCATGTACTTTGGTTTCAGGCTCGATCCCCAGTAGGATCAATAAAAATATATTTGAAAAATAAATCCTATATAATAAAAGGCTAATATGCAAATAGACCGAACTGCAGAAAACCAAACGGCAAACGGCATAACAACTGAACAACCTGTCGCTATGACGTGCACTGACCAACAAGGGGCGCAAGTGGAACAAGGTGGGTGTTGGCAGCAGGTGGCAGACCATGGAACATGGTGGGTGTCAACCACGGCAGGATGGTGGTGGGAATGGCACCAGATGTCTGACCAGTGGGTCAGACCAATCTGGGTTCAGCAACATCAGTACTAGTGTTGCAGGCAGTTAGACAGACATGAGCAGAGCAAGGAGCATGGGCCAGGTACAGAGGTCACCAGGGTGGAAAGACCCAGGTGCCTAGCAATGAACAATCACTTGTAGGGTGGGACCTGGGCCACAGGGTGACTTTTCCTCCCCTAGCACTGGTCCTGAGGTTTGGACCCCTGATCTTTCCTTCTTAGAGATGACATTGAGGCTGCAGTAGTATTTAAGCAAACATTCTTACCATCCAGGCCCAGATAAACAAAACCAGCCATGGCTGACATCAGGACCAGCTGCATAGAATAATGACCCCCCTTGCCCTGGAGCTGGCCAATCAGTGGAGACCACAGCTCTGAATGGACAAACCTGGAAAGCTACTGAATATTTCATTGAAATCTTCCCGTGGCACCTCCTCTAAAATTCTTAGGATGGACAACCCAGTGTGCTCTTCCTCCCGGAGCACGCCCCTTCCCCATACTCCTCCTGGCCCCAGGCTCATTACCCAGGCAGTTTGGCTCTGTAAGAGAACATTTATTGGGTAAATCACAGACATAGAAGTAATTCCTAGAATAAATGGGCTTAGAAAACAAGTTATGGAGGTAAAGGAAGGGCCCTGAGAGCTTGGGAGTGAGGAAGCTAATGGTAGCATGCCTGGGGCAGGGAGGGGGAGAGGGTTAGGGAAAGGCATGGGCGTATTCCCAGGAGGGCGAGTGCAATGGTTCCTCTGTCCTAAGGATTTTAAGGGTGGAAATTTTAGGGGAGGTCCCAGGAGATCTTAATAGAATATTTTTGTTTGTTTTTTCTTGTTTTTGTTAATATTAAGCAGTTTTCCAGGTGTGTCCTTTTAGGGCTGTGGTATTCACTGACTGATTGGCAGGCACCAGGGCATTGGCTCAGTGGATAGAGCGTCAGCCCTCGGACTGAAAGGTCCGGGGGTTGATTCCAGTCAAGGGCACATATCTCAGTTGCAGGTGCCCTGGCCCTGGTCCCTGGTTGGGGTGTGTGCAGGAGGCCACCAATCGATGGGTCTCTTTCACATCAATGTTTCTCTCTATCCTCCCTTCCCCTCTCTCTAAAAAAATCAATGGAAAAATATCCTCGGCTGAGGATTAACAAAAAAACAAAATCAAAGCAGCTGGTTCTGAGATCAGCGATGGCTGGTTTAGCTTATTTCTGAAGCTAAAATACTACTGAAGCCTCAATGTGATCTCTAGGGAGAAAGGTTGGGGGGGGAGTGTGGGGTAGGAGGTGGCTAGGGGAGGAAAAGTCACAGAGAGCCAGGTTCCACCCTACAACTGATTGTCCATTGCTAGGCATCTCGGGCTTTCCACCCTGGTGACCTTCTGGCCCATCGTCCTTGCTCTGCTCAGGTCTAACTGCCTACCACAGAAGTATACATTTTAGGCAATTCAAAATCATTACTGTTAACGTAAAAAACCACTGAAACCTGTAAAGAATTTTTGCGAGTTTATTTGAGCCAAACTGTTGACATATGCCTGGAAGCAGAACCTCAATGAATTGTGATAATGCTCTGGAGAATGGCAGGTTACATCTGTATTTATACATTGCAGTCAAAGGAAAGGGAAGTAGGTGGGTTACATGAAATCCACTGGTGATAGACTAGAGAGGCGGGAGAAAGCAAAGCAGGGAAACCCCTGGGATTGGATACAAAGTAAAATGATGGGCACATACTTAGGTGGGTGCAGGAACAATTAACATAACAATGAAGGAATTTGTGGTCTCTGTCCTGGAGCCCAGGTTGTGCCCCAAGGGGGTCCAGAAAAAGGGAAGTTACAAGTTACCCAGACATTTCAAGGGTATGTTATCATAGATGCAAAAAGACAGATAGGGCTCAGTTAAGGTAAAGGTTGACCTTGTCAGTGAAGATACCGGCCTAGGACATAACTACCCACCATAACTGCTTTTAGTTAAAGTTTAATTTCAGACCATTCTTTGTGGTTACTTTAGGTCTCTGAGTTTGCAAGACCATCATGCAGGCCTTCCCTGAGCTTGTCAGGTCAGCATGTGGCCCCTTTCGTCCACATTACATTTTTGTAATAATTTGTAAAATTAAAAGCCCTTTCACCAATCACAATTATTCCACTGATTCTTCCAATTGTTATCTGTTTTTACATAATTTAACAATATAATTGCTCTACTCTAAATATTATTTCAACTATGCCTTTCCACTTAATCTGGAAATTTTATACAGTACCTCTCAATTGTATTGCCTGCATATTATTTTGTTAGGCAGCTGTGCCTGCTTAGTCTTTTCCTCATTTTTGTAGTTATGTTTTTTCCATTTCTTTTTGTTATAAAGATACTAAAACCTTTTTTCCCCTTGTTTTGAGTGCCTCAAGGACACTAGGATTTTTTTTTTGAGAGGGAATGTAAACATTTTTTCCTATTATTTCAGACAGAATCGGGCGCGTTCAGGGTGGTATGGCCATAGACTCCTATTATTTCAGATTACTATATTGCTGCTATCTCTAAAGCAACCAATGGTTAGTGCCCCCAAAGGAGACCATTTCTGTCTCTGCAACCTCATTAACTCTGGGTTTTTAGACTTTCAAGTTTCTGATTTAAGTAGGTGTGAAATAGTACCTCTGGCTGCTTTAATTTTCCAGATGTTTAATCACTAGCAGGGCTGAACGTGTTCATTCCAAATGCTGCGGTTCCCTACTATTTGTTGTGTTCTGGGTGTTCCCTGACCATCTCCACACTAGGGACTTAAGAGAGATATAAATAAATACAGCACTTGCTTCCTGCTAACCTAATGTCACCCTCAGCTCAGAAGTGAGATACTTTCTAATTATAGGATGGCATCCCTACAGTAAATTGTACCTAACAAATGTAGGTAACTTTCTGTTAATTCAAGACATGCATTCGGCCTCCACTGTTCACCAGATACTGAGCTATGAACATCATAGACATGTTTCCTGCTCCACGGCCTTAGAGTTAGTTTTAGGACACTATATCTCAAGCATAACACACATTTTTTGCGATTGATGGGGATCCTACGGTAAAACAGCAATGCAAGCCCGTTCTGTATCTTCACCCAGGGACCACGTTCATCCTGCTACCGTCCTCCTGAATGCGGGAATGCACCTTCCCCTTGGCTGCCCTTCACACCCCGTGGCTGGAAAGCTCGCTCGCTCTAGTTTCCGGCTGGGCTACAAACCTGAAATTAATTAAATCTCTGCAACCAGCGCGGCGGGGGCAGTCCCGCCGGGAGCGGCG